GGGGGGGGAGGGGAGACAACACTGCTACTGCTCAGCTGCAACTCCTGACATGAAACGGACAAAGCAGGGACTGGAGTTCTCACAAGTGGCCCTTCAGACCCGGGTCCCTGCTGCCCAAAAAACTCATATGGCTGCTTCTAGGGACCACTGCGCTCCCCACTGCCTTCCCCTTTGAGATGCAGATCCCCTGCGATGCAAGACCTACCCAGATCACTCCACAGTTTGAGCATTTTAAACCTGAACTCTCCTGGGGGCTGAAAGCTGCCCAGAAGGGGGGCCACTCTCGCCTGAACTGAAGTGCCACTGTGTTAGGATACACAGACACAGCAAGAGCCTCCCTGTCTCCATCTGGCTCTTTCCAGAGGCTGCAAAACCCCTCCAACCCCACCACTGCCCAGCTCCCTCCTGGGCTGATGCAGTGCCAGAGAAGGGAAGAGGAGAGTGGGAGCATGAGGCGGCAGCGGGGCCATACAAAGAGCGGGGCCAGTTGCGACTCGCGGTGCCTTGCACCAGTCCAGGCTCCCCCTTTAAAGTGCAGGGGCCAGGAGAGAATCACACAAGCCGCTCATGCAGTATCTGGGAGCCCTAACACAGCTGCTTCGCAGAGCCCAGTCCCCCCAGTGCTCTCTGAGCCCCGTGGGCAGGGGCTTCGGAACTCACATCCAAGATCACCGAGGTGCCTTTCCGCTGCCCTTGGCCGGCGGCTGCCTGCCCTTCCTAGAGGAACTCCCTGTCGGAGAGCAGTGGGCTGAGTGGGGCCGGCAGCCGGTACCACTCAGCCCACCGCTGGCCTGGGGTCCCAGCCACTGGCCCGCTCAGCCTGTTGCCAGCCTGGGGTTTCTTTCACCCAGGCCGGCAGCAGACTGAGTGGGGCCGGCAGCCGGGACCTCAGCTGGCAGCAGCGTGCCATTAAAAATCGGCTCCCGTGCCATCTTTGGCACGCGTGCCATAGGTTGCCGACCCCTGTACTACAGGAAGACAAGACACCAGGAAGATGGTTTAATTAGGCTGCAACTTTAAGTAACCCACCTGGGACCTATTTGGCTATAACTTGTCCAGCAAGGTCACCCTTTCTTGATAATCTGTTCTACCCATACCAACAGCCTCCTACCCCATAAACATGCTAGGACCGTACCACCTTCCCTCATACAAGGATAAAGGGAGTGGAGAAGAGGGGGTTATATCATTACTATGCCAGACATTAGGAGCGCCAACCTCATTCTCCACTTTCTTTACGAGATGCCTTCTCCTAATCCACTTCCAATTCCAGTGCATCAGGGAAGCGGACCACTTTGGAACAATTACCTGCACTGCACACCTATCAAGTTGCAATAAAATTAATTTTACAACCTACCCCACCTTACAGGTCCCTGGGCTGCTGAGAGGAAGTTGAAAAATTTACTTTGCCCAAGCCAAACTTCACTGAGGGAAAATTTCCTTCCTTCCCAGCCCCAAAACTAGTGATACTCACAGTAAGGCCCGAAAATCCATTCTTAGTCTAATCCCAGGAGGAGGGAGGGGAAGCTTTCCTTCAGCACAGAATGGCATCCCAGGGCAGGGTTTATAATTCCTCCCTTTGGATACAAAGGAGACAGAGGCTTATGCTGCACTCTTCTGTCCAACCAATGAGCCACAGAGCTCCTCCACAAGCCCATAAGAAGGCTAAGTATCCATAAGGAGGAGAGGGCTCATGTACAAGTTCTTAAAAGGGCCAAGGGTTTTCTTTCTCCTGCTGGCCCAGACAAAGCGTGTCCCTGCTGCCCAGAGGCTGACGGGGGAATGGGAATGAATTGATTATCTTTTTGCCAAAATGTGGGATTTCCTAAATTTGTATCTGTAGCACTGTATATTATTGTAATATGTTTCTTCAACAATGAATTGTGGCAATTCTTTAATTTTTTTTTATAGCATCCTGTTCTTAACAATCATATGTGCAAATCATCAGCCTTTTTGAATCCGTTCATTTCCCACTAACATTTTCAGGTTGTTGGGCTTAGCTATCTTCTACCATAGACCTCTTCCCACCCACTCAAAACTAACAAGGGTAAAGTAGTCCTAGTATTTGTGCTAGGAGAAAGTCCATTTGTCCATGTTCATACTGTAACAAACTCCCTGAATCCATCAGGCTTTTTAAGATGAGACAGGGGATGTGTATTTCTCCTTCATAAAATGTGCAATTTTGTTTTTAACTGTTGATCAGATGAGTACAGAGGTTATGACAGAGATCCATGATAAGAATAATCCTAATAGGTATGATTCTTGTATTTGTTGTAGCTCAGGGGTAGGCAACCTATGGCACGTGTGTCGAAGGCGGCACGTGAGCTGATTTTCAGTGGCACTCACACTGCCTGGGTCCTGGCCACCGATCTGGGGGGCTCTGCATTTTAATTTAATTTTAAATTAAGCTTTTTAAACATTTTAAAACCCTTATTTACTTTACATACAACAATAGTTTAGTTATATATTATAGACTTATAGAAAGAGACCTTCTAAAAATGTTAAAATGTATTACTGGCACGCAAAAACTTAAATTAGAGTGAATAAATGAAGACTCGGCACACCACTTCTGAATGGTTGCCTACCTCTGTTGTAGCTGGAGCAATGTATTTCTCATCAGGAGTACTGCGACCTTTAACCAAATCTTCTTACAATTGTGCGCCCACCATGTGTGTATTACAAATCCTTTCACCACATTGTTTCCAGCATAGTGGTGAGACACTGCAATGTACTTTTCTCTCTCTGATCTGGGACTGCTTCCTTATAGTTTTCTGCAGAATTTATGTAAGGCCTTGCATGTTAGGGTTTGCCAGTAGCTGAGTTTTTATGTTTATATACAAGTGTGGGTTGGAAGTATTTTGGCATAGCCACAGTAACATGTAGTTACTAGAAGTAACAAGTACATTACTATCTACTGTGACCATCTATAAAACACCAAAAGTTTCATTTCTCATTATCAAAATGTATTTGTCTGTTCACGAAAACTTTTGTCTAAGGAAAACAAAACACTTTAAAAGCAGATGGTGATATATAAGTAAATATCACCAACCCAATTCAGGGTATCAGATATAACAGTGGGGTTGATTTCATGGATCTAGGGACACAGTGTCCTCCAGGAGCACCAGAAGCAGAGGATCCAATCTATTTGTTAAGCTACTTCCATCCGCCCAACACACACATACACAAGACAGGAAGTTTTTCATTTTCCAACACAGAATTTATAATCATTTACTGCAGAAAATCAGCACTGAAGTACATGGACTCCTAGAGAGCCTGTGTAACAGGTGCTGTTCTCAATTTCAGAACAGGAAGCATAGTTGGGGCTTTCCTACTCAGGTACTATGGTTGCCAACCCTCCAGGATTCGTCTCTCCAGGAATTAAAGATTAATCTTTAATGAAAGACTATGTCATGTGATGAAACCTCCAGGAATTCATCCAATCAGAATTGGCGACCACACCAGGTACTATTGCATAGGATAGCCCAAACCTGCCATTCTCCAAGAAACAGTAATTTCCTTCTTGTTGATCCTGTTTTTTATTTTAAGTATGCTTTCTTCTTAAGTTAACCAAATGTTCAGTTCAGCTGAGTTATATACATTGGACAGCTACCTAACGTCTAGAATTTTTGTCTTTATAAAGGACAACATTGTGACATTGGTTTTTATGCAAAACATCAATGTCAGTTACTTCTTGAATCCAAAATAGTGGCAAAATATGGCCCTAACGCTACAGCTTCACAGCAATCACAATTTTCCCAGCATATGGCAACCATTAAAAATATTATAGATTAAAAATTCATCCAATTGTGGGCTTTAACACTTTTGGAAGTGCTGAAACCATATATGTATAGTTTCATTATATCCAAGAGTAAACATAAAATTGAACTTTCTGTATCCTCTACCATTATAGAGTTGTTCACTTTACCCAGTTATGTAATATATAGAGTCACAGTTAATTCTAGATGCACGTTTTATCTTACAATAGATTGCCACACAAATTCAAATGTTGCAATAGATATCAGTAACATATACATGACTTAGTCATTTGCTTTTCTGTGCTTTCTGGAGCTTTGATAAATATGTGAACAATACTGCAATAGAGCTGAATCTAGTGTTACACCAACATAAAATTTCTGCAAGTGCATCAAGATTTCACCAAGTTTATAGGCATTACTTTCAGATGAGTGGGTTGCTTTAGACTCCCCTATAACTATTCTTTATGTCAGAACTGTGATGTAGCAAGTTTTAGATGGTCTGCATTTTCAGCTCTATATGCTCAATCCCTCATATGCCCTGTAAATTATATTATAACCATTATTTTTAGGTAAAATTAGTCCATTTAAGACCAGATAAATATAAAAACGGAGAACACCTAATAAAAAGTTATAATATATCCTGTTCAATTTTGGTGAATGTAGTTTTTAAAACTATATTAGGTTTTTAAGAATAAACATGCAAAATTAAAATCTAGTGGCTTACTGTGAATTATCTTCATTGTTTATTCTTTTGAGTTCTCGTATGTGAAGATTTCTAACTCTTTCCAAACGTTCGAGTTCTGCTTGTATTTCGGCTTCTTCCTGCAGATGAAATGAATGAACTATAAAAGCTCAATTTACTCACTGTTTGAAAAGGATATTTTTACCCAGGCATCAATACTGGTAGTGATGGAAGAACGTTACATTACAAAACCCTGCTGAACCAGAAAATAGAACTGCTTTTCTTTTAAGGCTGGAAAAATTCAGAGACAAGGCATAAGCCTATTTCAAGGAATCCTCCTCTCCATGAAATCTATAAGTAATGGGATGTTCAGTTTTGTCCTGCACTGTGGGGATATTATTCAAACTGAGTGGCAGCTGGTTTTGTACCTCAGCCAGGGAGAGAGATTATCTGGGTCTAAAATTGATGTACAGTGTGAAAAAAATTGAGATATGTGCAGTTTTAGAAAAGATGCTTTAAAATATTTTAAAGCTCAAGTGTGAAACAAAGCAAGACTATGCAAGAATATTCATAATAATTTAAATATTATTTAGTTAAGCATTTGATCTGTAACACTGATCAAAGAATTTTTTTTAGTTTCAGAGTTCTCCCATTTATGTTATCAAGATCACAAATGCAGAATGTATGTTGTCAAAGTTTTATGGCGGGATTTTCAAAAGCACCAAGGTGAGTCAGGAGCAAAACCTCTAATTAGGCACTTTTGAAAATCTTATCTTTACTCTACATACTTGCCTATTCAAACATCCTTGAGTTACAATTCATTTATATCAGTGATACTCAGACAGAGGCTCACAAGCCACAAGTGGCTCTTCAATGTGTCTCTTTAATGCAGCTCTTTGCAGCACATGATATTAAAACACCATGTGACTGGTTAATAACTTAGATTGGTTAATAATTAAATCAAAATGCTTTTACTATGTTATTAACCAATTAAGTTATCAATTTGCACTGAGTTATTAACTTATTTGCTTTGAGAATTTATATATATACGAAAAACAATTAATTCACACTGTTGTGGTTCTCTTGAATATCACTGATTTATATCCCATAGTACAAGTACACAATTTAATGGTGCTTAACTTACAGAAAGATAGATATTTATAATTGATGTTCTAGCATCAGTAAACATGCTTCCTACAAGTAGAAAATGAGTTTAACAAGTTTGAAATTTAACTTAAATATAAAATCATTGCACCAGCATCATCATCTTATTACTATGACTACTGTGCTGACAATGGAATACACCCTTTATTAGCTTTCTTAGTGTTCCAATCCAGTAGTATTTTGCATACATCTCAGATTAAGGCATTCCTAAACTATTTCAGAATAAGCACTGTGAAAAGAAAGTTTAGAACTTTATTACTACTTTCAAAGAAAGGTAGATACAAAAAAAAATTCAGTATTTTTACATTTTTGTCCTAAAACGACAACAAAAATCACACTGGTATGCCCTCTATCCACCTTTCACACATGTTGTAATGTCTAGCATGAGAATTGGGTATGAACAAGGCTGTTATATTTAACTTAGCCAAATTGGGAGTCAAGGATTTTGAGAATTTCTGAGCAGCAGTGAGAAGTGCTTTTAAAATATGGATCCTCAAAAGAACAGAGAAATGGTATCTGAAATCCTGTTTATGTTAATAAAGAATAAACATCATACAACCTGAAAATCAATACTGGCAGATAATGAATTATTCATTTAAAAAATAGGTGAATCAGTCTATAATTTTTTCTTTATAAACAAAAGAATTGTGAAATGTTAATGAAAGTTATTTAGCATAGTGTCTACATTATATTTTATCCATTGACATACTGTGTTCTTAAGAACGGCCATACTGGGTCAGACCAAAGGTCCATCTAGCCCAGTATCCTGTCTTCCAACAGTGGCTAATGCCAGGTGCTCCAGAGGGAATGAAAAGGTAATCATCAAGTGATCCATTCACTGTCGCTCATTCCCAGCTTCTGTCAAACAGAGGCTGGGGACACCATCCCTGCCCATCCTGGCTAATAACCATTGATGGACCTATCCTCCATGAATTTTCTAGTTCTTTTTTGAACCCTGTAACAGTCTTGGCCTTCACAACATCCTCTGGCGCAAAGTTCCACGGGTTGATCGTGCATTGTGTGAAGAAATACTTCCTTTGGTTTGTTTTAAAACTGCTGCCTATTAATTTCATTTGGTGACCCCTACCATGATTTTATAGACCACTATTATATCCGCCCCCAGTCGTCTCTTTTCCAAGCTGAAAAGTCCCAGTCTTATTAATCTCTCCTCATACGGAAGCCGTTCCATACCCCTAATCATTTTTGTTGCCCCTTTCTGAACCTTTTCCAATTCCAATACATCTTTTTTGAGATGGGGCGACCACATCTGTATGCAGTATTCAAGATGTGGGCGTACCAGGGATTTATACTGAGGCAATATGATATTTTTTGTCTTATTATCTATCCCTTTCTTAATGACTCCCAACATTCTGTTCGCTTTTTTGGCTGCTGCGGCACATTGAGTGGATGTTTTCAGAGGACTATCCACAATGACTCCAAGCTCTCTTTCTTGAGTGGTAACAGCTAATTTAGACCCCATCATTTTATATGTATAGTTGGGATGTTTTCCAATGTGCATTACTTTGCATTTATCAACATTGCATTTCATCTGCCATTTTGTTGCCCAGTCACCCAGTTTTGAGAGATCCTTTTGTAGCTCTTCGCAGTCTGCCTGGGACTTAACTATCTTGAGTAGTTTTGTATTATTTGCAAATTTTGCCACCTCACTGTTTACCCCTTTTCCCAGATCATTTATGAATATGTTGAATAGGACTGGTCCCAGTTCAGACCCCTAGGGGTCACCATTATTTACCTCTCTCCAGTCTGAAAACCCTTTGTTTCCTATCTTTTAACCAATTACCAATCCATGAGAGGACCTTCCCTCTTATCCCATGACAGCTTACTTTGCTTAAGAGCCTTTGGAGAGAGACCTTGTCAAAAGCTTTCTGAAAATCTAAGTACACTATATCCACTGGATCCCTGTTGTCCACATGCTTGTTGACCCCCTAAAAGAATTCCAGCAGATTGGTGAGGCATGATTTCCCTTTATAAAAACCATGTTGACTCTTTCCAAACAAATTATGTTCATCTATGTGTCTGACAATTTTGTTCTTTCTTATAGTTTCAATCAGTTTGCCTGGTATTGAAGTCAGGCTTACTGGCCTGTAATTGTCCGGATCACCTCTGGAGCCCTTTTAAAAATTGGCGTCACATTAGCTATCCTCCAGTCATTTGGTACAGAAGCTGATTTAAATGATAGGTTACAGAGTACAGTTAGTACACCTCTACCCCGATATAACGCTGTCCTCGGGAGCCAAAAAATCTTACTGCGTTATAGGTGAAACCAAGTTACATCGAACTTGATTTGATCCGCCGGAGCACGCAGCCCTCCCCCCACCCCCCGGAGCGCTGCTTTACTGCGTTATATCCGAATTCATGTTATATTGACTCACGTTATATCGGGGTAGAGGTGTAGTTCTGCAATTTCAGGTTTGAGTTCCTTCAGAACTCTTGGGTGAATATCACTTCATAATTGTGACAATACAATGTGTGCTTCTGCCAGATTACTGAGCACCATTGTTTCCACAGAACTAGACTTGCATGAAGTGGGGGGGAGTTGACAGCCTTGCCTCAGTGGAATGACCCACTAAGGGAACAGAATACCTTTCTTTGCAACTACAAGCTTATAATGTGAAACATTAGAATAAATTTATTGGTAAACTGATCTATGCTTGTTCAACAGAAAATGTCAGAGACCATGTTTTCATATTTTCCCTGTACTGTTTGTTACATGCTTCCACTCTAGACAGTTCTGCTTAGAAAATTTAAATTAATTGGAACATAATTTAGAAAGAATGAGAATACCTTACTCTAGAATAACTGCCTCTTTGGTTAACCTTTATAATTACAAAGTGGATTGGAAATCAATCCATACACAAAAGCAAGTCATTATGGAATTACTCTAAGATGACACCCACTAAGAAAAATGTCTCCTAGGAAAGAAGTGTTACCTATACGCATAATTGACTCAAAACTATGTTGTTACTATCTGGAATATAAATTAAATTAGTATATCTCCAATAGTCTTAAGACACAGATCAATCAGAAGACTGCCAATGGAATCAACAATCTCTCCCCATGACAGACAAGGCAAAAAACTATCTGCAAGATAAATTTTCATTCTGATAAGAAGGACCAAATCCCCAATTTTCAGCAGCTGGCTAGTGCAAGATGCCTCTTTTGCTGGCAAAACTAAGTCAAGCATTTGCTTTTCCTAGTATATAATACTATTTGCATTTTCCTGTTTGTATGTTGTTAACAAGCAAATTTTTTCATATTTAGCTTCACCCTGGCCGCTCTCAGGTGAATACCCTGAAATAATATGCAGCTTCTCATAAGCCATTAGTCTTCTATAAAGAATTTGACACACACCCCTTCTTAAAAAAAACCATTTGTTTCTTCTTGTCCCTGTTATTCTCAGAGACTACAAGGACGGGGGAACCTATTATTGCTTCTTTTGGATTTCTGTTCATATATTATGCAATTCAGGGGTCCTCAAAATGTGGTTCATTACACCAGCGTTAGTCCAAAGAGAACTGGCTGGTCTCACAGTTTCCAGATGTTACTTCAGACACTAAGGTTTTGAATACCTGTAAACAGGAAAGAACCAGCTAAGCTCTCTCTCCTGCAGGTCACTGCTATGTAAAAAGGTAAGAACAAGAACCATGAGGATCTAGCAGGAGAGAAATTTCTTGAGGAACTGGAGAACAAGAGGACCATTTGTAAGCACCACACCCAAGGAGCAAAGAAAGGAGCAACATGAAAGCATTTAGAGAGTGAAGGGAAGGAGGACCAGGCAGCAAAGAACCAGATGGAGAGAAGGTATGCAGATGGAAAGAAGGAAGAGTTATGGCAGCAGAGAAACACATACCAAGAGAACACTAGTACATGAGAAGAACCAATAAAAGTGAAGATAAAATGAAAAGCAAAAAGGAGACTATTTTTTCTAAAAAAAGGACATCTTTATCACATTATAGAGTTACAAATAAATATTTTTCTAATATTACTTTTTACAGACAGACACACAGAGACTTATTCTGCCACTGATTAATTTAGCTTTATTTTTAAACTGAGCCATTAGTGAACATGGACATATACTTGCTTATATACAGAATTAAAATGTACAAAATATAAATAGAATAATGTATATATAAAATCAATGAAAAGACAAGTCTAGAAACTTTGAGTTTTGGTGTGAAAAATAAAATCTGAAAATCTACATTTTTTTTGTTTTAAACTAGAAGTCCCACTTCGGTGATTTTGACAATTTCCTTGACTTACAATTAATTTTAATATGAAGTAAATGGAGACACTTTAGTGAAACTTCAAAATGTCTACCTGCAAAAAAACTATCAGTAGACACATATACATTGGATTTAACCTTTCATTTTAGTTCTCCTGTGTTGCTGCATTAGCTTCAACCAAACTACTAGACCAGGTACATTACTCAATTCTAAAATTAAACACAGAATTATTTACAAGTAAAATAGTTTATAATTTTTAAGCATATGCTTAGCTTTTCTCATTTGACTGGCCCCTCTGTATAACAAAGGAACTGCTCACATGAGTAAAGTTAGGCATGTGTGCAAATCTTTGTAGCAGTGGGGCCTTAAATGCTTTTTTAACAATCTATCTATGACAACTCAACTGTTGCTGAGTCACTGACTGACAAGAAGCGTTTCCTCACGAGAATGAAGTCTGAAAACATGCCTGCTCCAAGAATAGTAAGTGTTTCCAATTTGCTTCTTAACCACAAGAACAGAGTCAAATACATTTATCTTGATTAATTAAAACTAAATATATTTTCTTCTATTGTTCAAGAAAAATGTTTAGAAAACAAATAAAAAGTAACCATGCCAAGACAGAAATGAATGTCGAAAAAACAGTGATATTGGAAAATGTAGATCAGACGCCCAGATCACTGAGGCCATTAATGGTACTCTGTCAAGCAGCAATGAATAATAACTAAGCCTGAGTTTTTGTGTTTAATGCCTCTACTAATGAAATTATGAGGTGATATGTATTTTAACATCCCCCTTTTCTTCCTTTGTGACACCCTTTTGGCATTTCCTGGCTGATTGAAGCTATTCCAGAATGTGACAAATACCAAAACTGTCACTGCAACCTAGTCTATCCATGATATTTATGATGTTACAGAATGATGCATTCTCAGATCTTTATTGAGTCAAAAAGTATCAAGAGAATTCACAGAGAGATTCAACTTTAGTCACAATATGACAGATATAATCTTCATCTTGAAATGATAAATACAATTGAAAATAAAGGGTTTGTAAAACTTATCTCTGTGCTGAATGCCCCTGACAGCTTGGTTAGTCAGGATATTCAGCAAAGATACTTGACCTTAAATCAATTTTCATTTTTGCTTTAAAACACATTGTTAAAGGAATGGCTGAATTCACGAATTATTCTAACAGAGGAAGTTCGTAACAAGAATAAAGCATATCAGCGCACCTGGAATTATGGACAGGGTATTGCCAGCACACCATACTTACTTCCACAGCATTGTTTCTTCTGTACACATACAAACTTGACAAATTCTAACATTCAGAGATGTGACACTAGAGCACACAAAGCATCATTACACCAAATCAGTTAGCATAATCTGGGCCTAAACATTTTTAAACAAAAGAGAAATTCTTAATCTCCCTTCAGGCTGAAATGTGGCAGTTCTGGAAATGAAGACAGCCAGAGGGGAGAAACAAGAAGTTTTATTTGCATAAATAGAACACTGCTTGGTTACCAACAGTCTTGCTATTTCCATTCTAATTTTTCCACATTAACTATTCTAATTGTGGTATGTGTATAACATTCCTTGCTAGGGCTACGATTCTGTCACAAAGGTCACAGATTCCATGACTTTACAGGACCCGGATGGGACACACCGGGAACAGCTGACCAGCGGCCAGCCCCCCCTTCTCCGGGGTGGGGTGGGGGAGGGACACTGAAACAGCTGATCAGTAGCAGTCTCCAGGGCCGCTGGAGTAGCGGCTGGGGTTGGGTCAGCCCCCGTGGGGCTGGAGCTGCAGCAGGGGGCAGAAGCAGCTACAAGCCCCAACAGTGCTCTGTTTGTCGCCCTTCCTCCCTACCACCCCTTGGGTATTAATAGTAAAAGTTGGGACAGGTTGCAGCCAATAAACACACTTTCACGAAAGCCCGTGACCTGTCCCGACTTTTACTAAAAATACCCATGAGGGAATCGTAGCCTTATTCATTGCATCTTGCATTGAAGCTAAGAACTGCAGTAATATGCCCTTTTCCTAAGCAGAGATCAGAAGTGTGATTTAGTGGAAAGGACAATGAGGTATGGAGCACCGCACTGCAGGAAGCTGAGTCCCCTCAACTCTCAGTGACCTCATCTGTGGGGCCTACAGAAAGGGAACAGTAGTATTGCTTATATTGATATTTCATATTTAATGTATTATTACATAGCTGATAAAATCTATATGCAGCAAATACCATTAATGCCAAAACAAAAATTAAAAGTCACCCTGTCTGTACCAGTCTCATCTGATAAGCTATAACCATTGCGTCAACCTTCCTTCACTCAGTGACCAGAAAACAATACCACCCCTACATTATAGAATCACAGAACTGGAAGAGACCTCGAGAGGTCATCTAGTACAGTCGCCTGCACTCAAGGGAGGACTAAGTATTATCTAGACCATCCCTGACAGGTGTTTGTCCAACGTGCTCTTAAAAATCCCAAATGATGGAGATTCCACAGCCTCCCTAGGCAATTTATTCCAATGCTTAACCACTCTGACAGTTAGGAAATTTTTCCTAATGTCCAACCTAAACCTCCCTTGCTGCAATTTCAGCCCATTGCTTCTTGTCCTATCCTCAGAGGTTAAGAACAACAATTTTCTCCCTACTCCTTGTAACAACCTTTTATGTACTTGAAAACTTATGTCCCCTCTCAGTCTTCTCTTCTACAGACTAAACAAATCCAATTTTTTCAATCTTCCCTCATAGGTCACGTTTTCTAGACCTTTAGTCATTTTTGTTGCTCTTCTCTGGACTTTCTCCAATTTATCCACATCTTTCCTGAAATGTGATGCCCAGAATTGGACACAATACTCCGGTTGAAGCCTAATCAGCGAGGAGTAGAGTGGAAGAATTACTACTTGTGTCTTGCTTACAACACTCCTTCTAATACATCCCAGAATGATGCTTGCTTTTTTTTGCAACAGCGTTACACTGTTGACTCATATTTAGCTTGTAGTCCCCTATGATTCCTCAGATCCCTTTCTGCAGTACTCCTTCCTAGGCAGTCATTTCCCATTTTGTATGTGTGCAACTGATTGTTCCTTCCTAAGTGGAGTACTTTGCATTTGTCCTTATTGAATTTCATCCTATTTACTTCCGACCATTTCTCCAGTTTGTCCAGATCATTTTGAATTTTAATCTATCCTCCAAAGCACTGGCAACCCATCCCAGCTTTGTATCGCCCACAAACTTTATCAATGTACTCTCTATGCCGTTAGCTAAATCACTGATGAAGATATTGATCAGAACCGGACCCAGAACTGATCCCTGTGGGACCCCACTCGTTATGCCCTTCCAGATTCACTGTGAACCACTGATAACTACTCTCTGGGAATGATTTTTCCAACCAGTTACGTACCCACCTTATAGTAGCTCCATCTAGGTTGTATTTCCAGTTAGTTTATGAGACGGTCATGCGAGACAGTACCAAAAGCCTTACTAAAGTCAAGATATACCACATCTACCACTTCCCCCCCATCCACAAGGCTTGTTACCCTGTCAAAGAAAGCTATCAGGTTGGTTTGACACGATTTGTTTTTGACAAATCCATGCTGACTTATTTATCACCTTATTATATTCTAGTTGTTTGCAAATTGCTTGCTTAATTACTGTATTTGCATTGATCCAAGAGGTCAGTGCAGACGAATACAATGGCCTCAGTACTTCATGAAGCTAAGCATGCTGTCTCTCCAGGACTCCCAGAATAATCCACGTTAGGGAACAGGAAGGAATCAAGTCATTATTCAATACATAACTCTTCATTGCTTACCGGTATTTTGTAAGACAGCTCTAACAAGTTTTTTTTACACTGTGACAGTATTAGTTTTTGTACTTCAATGCATGGCAGCAAAAATCACAGAGCAAATGTCTACACATACCTTTTTAAGATGTCCTAATCTAAGTTTGAAAATTTCTTCCTGTTCATGATATTCTGCTAGAGTCAACCTGCAAAAATAATAACAATATGCAGTTTTAGATTTTACTATCTTATAAATGATACTGAAATTGACATACACATTAAAATATGAACAACAACAGTAAATAGCATTCTTTATTTACCATTTATAACTATCAACACAAGATCATATTTTAAATTGTGTCTGGTACTTTTTTTTTTTAATAATCTGTCATTCCAGGGCCAAAACCCATTATTTATAGAAACCTATCTGGTACTCTGAAACATTAATTGTCTATGCTAAGACCACTTCCCATTCAGTAGACCACTACGTAGTACAAGATTTTCTCCTTGACCACCCCCAAATCTTAGCAATTGCCTCAGTGCTTGGTTCTCAAAATATGTCACTCAGTGCACTACCACGAAGGAATCCATAGACAGTTTGAAAGAATCAAGTTTAAGACTCAGGATTTCCAGGTCATTGTCTCCAATCATAGAAATTATGGAAGGTAGTTAGGAAGTAGTATGGAGCGGAACTGCATCGTGCATCCAAGTTGAACAACCTCAACTACCCAGTGAGCTGTAGTAATTCCACCCAAAACTGCAAGGAAACAGACTAAACAGATCCTCAAAAGAAGGGGAAATGAAGAAAAGGCAAAGTTAAAACCACCTCTCAGTTCTCATTCAATGTGTCAAATCTAAAGGCTTGATCCCAAAGATGACAAAATGAGTGGAAGAAGATTAATCAGCTCACTGCCTGACACATTTTCCACTGTCCTGCCTCTTCTGATATTGCAAAGCCTGCACCTTTCAGAACTGAGGCCAAAACTTCAGAATGTCACGAAAGGCAAAAAATACCCAAAAAAGAAATAAAAAAAGACAGAGTTCTCCCTCTTCAGGACTGATGGAAGGACTCCCCGAGACTTACTGCTGTTAGACTTCGGAGTTATTCTTTGAAGCACCTCATTCATTTTGAAATTGAAAGGGCACTCCACATCAAATAGGAGTAGATCTCCACAGATCTGAGCCTTAGAATAATGTAGGAGTACTGAGGAAAAACTAATACCATTGTAAGAATCAAAGCATCGGACATGTCATGCCTGTAAGACATGCTAGGACATTTTTCTGCTCGTCAGAAAGGTGGTCAATGAGAAGATACATCTCTTCCCAAAGATGCAATTGGTACCTAGCCACACAGATACTAAACATTCCTCACCAAAAGTCAAGCTTTTTGGTGTCTTTACCCAGTGGAAAGGTAAGAACTACCTTGGATTTTTCTCAACCTTTCAATGACTAATGACACCACCAATGAGCCAATACAGGTACAGAAATCCCTTATTGTCACTGCCTTTTTTAGGGCAGGTCTTCACTACGGGGGGGGGGTCGATTTAAGATACGCAAATTCAGCTACGCGAATAGCGTAGCTGAATTCGACCTATCGGAGCCGACTTACCCCGCTGTGAGGACGGTGGCAAAATCGACCTCCGCGGCTCCCCGTCGACGGCGCTTTCTCCCACCCCTGCTGGTGGAGTAAGAACGTCGATTCGGGGATCGATTGTCGCGTCCTGACGAGATGTGATAATTCGATCCCTGAGAGATCGATTTCTACCCGCCGATTCAGGCGGGTAGTGTAGACCTAGCCTTAGATATGGCTGGGATTGACGTTGGAATCAATCAGATGTCTTTAACAGGGTCCAGTAGCTCATTATTAATGTAGTGAGACTCTCTCTCTCTTAGTACTGCTGGATTTCATTCAATCAGTTAAAAAGGCTATCTACGGACATCTGAATTTCAGAGCTTCAGTTCTAACATCTCCTGAAATGGGCTGAAATCAGGGGGCAAAATAAACAAGGATGTGACCACTTCCCCAGGAAAATTTGAGGAAGAAGCAATCCTTCCTTTCAGGACAATGTTGTTGCAAAGTGCCCAACACCTTCTTCCCTGTCGGGCGAAAGGTGGTCATGCACACCAACTGAGGGGACAATTTCACAGATACTGGTGTGGGCAGCAGAGGAAGTGGCAGTGAAGAAAAAACCTTAGCTGTCTGGGAGCAGCAGATGGGTGACTAGCAACAGGTTTTATGACTGATCTTCTTCAGACTCACAAGGGAGAGGAGATCCTGTCATTAAGGCCATATAGCCCATATGCTAAATGGAAAACAAATGAATGGAGTCTCAAATGGCTTGTCCCAATAGACCAGAGAAGTGAGCACAACTGAGAACATGAGCCCTGGACAAACCAACCACTCCAGTTCCAAGAACTGTAACGATGAACCTGCCAACTGCACAAGACAGCACTAAGGCTGAGCCAGACACTCACAGAAGGAAGGCCCTGATTGAGATTTCTCCTCAAGGTCCATGTCCAATGTCTGAAACAGAGACTGGATTTGCTAGGTTTCTTTGATTAGAAAGGCAAAGAGCCTCGGCTGCCCAAAGGAGTGGAGTCAAGATATGATGACCCTACACACATCATGGCAAGAACAAACTATTGGCTTGTGTGTCTACTTCTAGAAACATGGAGAGAGACAATGCTCACAACCTAAATCTGCTGTTCTTATGGAGTACTTGGAGGCCACAATCAAAAAGTTAGAGGACCCCCTGATCTAGAATAAAGGCACAAACACAAACTATTCCTGGAAACACAAGTTTTATATCAAATCCTCCAGAAATCACTCTGGGCACTGAGTGAAAGTCCTTCAGCCACAGCTAGCTGAAGAAAGGAAGGCACTAAGGCAGTTTAGGAAACTTGGTCCTTTCATAACCTGGGCTACCTACATGCAGGGCCAGGATAGGAAGTTTGTGTAGCTCCAATAGGCACTGCTTTACAGGAATTTCCTGAAGCTCAGTAACCCTTGAGAGGCACAACCCACAAGTATGAATATGCAGAGGTCACCTTGAAAATATATTACATTTCAAGTCAATCTCTCTCCATTCTTCCAGACTATGCCCAGTAAACAACTGTTTTTCTTACAGTATATTTTATTTACAAATCTAATGTTGTTAGAGGCACTGCATGATGCATAAGCAATTTAAAACTGTTGACATTGATTTTTCAGAGAAGCTCATGAAATGCTAAATTTTATTGTAGGCACAGTTAGTTTAATTTTAATTTTTGAAGAGACAAACCTCATTCCCACCTGGATTCAAAAACAGTTACTTGCTAGAAGTAGGTTTATTATTCCTTATTTGAACATTAAAGTGTGCTACACCTTACATATTAGTTTATAGAAAACTTTAACAGAAATATTATTCCTATTTATCATATGTTAAGTTCTAACAACGTACCTGGTGTTAATTTTTTTGTGTTTTTTTGGTTTATAGGCCACTACATCATTGTAGTGCGTAGGCAAGTCACCCAAATTTTCAGGTTTAGTTTTTCTACTTGTAAAATGGGCCTCATAATTTAGATAGTCTCTTTCATAGATAGATTTCAAAGCTCTTGACAAAAATACTGAAGAGTACCCCTATTTGACTGATATATTTCTCTTTGCTCTCCTCTCACACAAGAGCAGCTCACTGATTTTTTTCTTATCAAAAATTATCATCAGGCACAGACCTACCATGGAAAATTTTAGCAGAAAATTGAAAATTTCAGAAGCGAATGACTGAAGACAAGGAGTTAAAACAGAAATTGTGATGCAACATAATTAAGGCTATTTTTTAATCACTAGTAGTTTTAGTAAAAGTCATGGACAGGTCACGGGCAGTAAACAAAAACTCACGGCCTGTGACTTGTCCATGACTTTTACTAAAAATACCTGTGACTAAAACTTGGGGGTGGGGTGGGGTGGGAAAGAGGCACGGGTGATCTGGGGGTGTTGCGGGTGCTGGGGGAGGTGGCCCAGGACCCTGCTGGTGCTGGAGGGCAGGGTTGGCAGGGGCTCCCTACCTGGCTCTGCATCCTTGCAGGTCCTAGGAGATGGAGGGGCAAAAGCGCCAGCTGCTGCAGCTCCCATTGGCCGGGAACCGCAGCACAGAGCCCCCCATCCACCCTCCCTGCTGCCTAGGTTTCTGCAGGGCCATGCCTGTGAGAGCCCCCCACCCCAAGGTAAGTGCCCCCCTACCCCCTGCCCTTAGCCCCCTCCCACACACACAAACTGCTGCTGCTGGCCCAGGGGCTGCCTGAGCCAGCACCAGCCACTACAGAAATCACGGAGATCACGGATTATGTGACCTCCGTGACAGACTCGCAGCCTTAAACATAATCTATAGTGGATCACAATCAACACGGTGCTACTATTATAATGATCTCTCCTCTAGACATCTCCCCAGGGGGAAAAAAGTGGGATATGAATACAACAAAATGCTCAAATTCTTCTGCTCATACCTTCCTTACACAACAAAAAGAAAATGTTTCAGGATGGAATTTTTAGAAGTGCTCCAGAGCTAGCCTAACTATTGCAGGTTTTTACAGAGTTAGGCCAACGCTATGCACTTTCAATAATCTCTCTGATAATGTTCTAATTCAACATCTTTTCTGGGTCTTATATATGTTTGTTTTATAGACTAAGCTGCTTGGGGCAAGGGCTGTCTTTATTTGCCCTGTAAAGACCCAGGCACATTGTTAGTACTTAAACATGTAATTCTGAAAAATTGCTGAAAACATTTTCTACTTCCTCCATGCCCAACAGAATGTTCCCTCTAAACAAGTTTGTTCAATTAGATTAGCATAACTGACAGCTTGGTATCCCCTCCCACAAACATTTTAAATTAGACACAGAGATCAGAACTGAAGTATTTGCATGAGACACTACCACTGAATAAATGGAGTGACAGAGGAAATGATGTTTAGGGAGTCACCATGATCAAAACGGCTAAAGCTGAAAAGTGAAGGGAGGAGGAAGTCTCTATGGAAACCAAAATTCTTCTTTCTAAAAGCAATAACTTATTAGCCACTTGAAGAACATAGAATCATAGAATTAGAAGGGACAATTCCACAACCTCCCTAGGCAATTTATTCCAGTGCTTAACCACTCTGACAGTTAGGAAGTTTTTCCTAATGTCCAACCTAAACCACCCTGGCTGCAATTTCAGCCCATTGCTTCTTGTCC